AGAGAATCTTATGTGGGGTTCAGTCCCATGACCCTAGGATCATGACATGAACAGAATCAAGAGTTGGACACTCAAAGGACTGAGACATCCAGGCACCCCAGCAGTATTAAAAAAATTTTTTTAATGTTTATTTATTTATGAGAGAGAGACAGAGCGTGAGCAGGGGAGGGGAAGAGAGTGAGAGAGAGAGAGAGAGAGAGAGAGAGAGAGAGAGAGAGATACAGAATCTGAAGCAGGCTCCAGGCTCTGAGCTGTCAGCACAGAACCCAATGTGGGGCTTGAAGTTGTGAACTGCGAGATCATGACCTGAGATGAAGTCAAATGCTTAATCAACTGAGCCACCCAGGTGCCCCCCAAGCAGTATTTTTTATTTAAGGTATGCACATTCCTCCAAAATGGATGAAATACCTAAATGTGAGATGGGAAACAATCAAAATCCTAGAGGAGAACACAGACAACAACCTCTTTGACATTGGCTGTAACAACTTCTTACTAGACATGTTTCTGGAGGCAAGGGAAACAAAAGCAAATATGAACTATTGGGACTTCATCAAGATAAAAAGTTTTGCACAGTGAAGGAAATAATCAACAAAACTAAAAGGCAACCAACTGAATGGGAGAAGATATTTGCAAATGATAGATCTGATGAAGGGTAACTATCCAGTATTTATAAAGAACTTATCAAACTGAACACCCAAGAAACAAATAATCCAGTTAAGAAATGGGAAGAAGATATGAATAGACATTTTTCCAAAGAAGACATACCAATGGCTAACGGACACATGAAAAAATGCTCAACAACACTTATCATCAGGGAAATACAAATCAAGACCATGATAAGATACCAACTCACACCTGTCAGAATGTCTAAAATTAACAACACAGGAAACAACAGATGTTGGCAAGGATGTGGAGGAAGGGGAACCCTCTTACACTGTTGGTAGGAATGCAAAGTGATGCAACCACTTTGGAAAACAGCATGGAGGTTCCTCAAAAAGTTAAAAATAGGGGGCGCCTGGGTGGCTCAGTTGGTTAAGTTTCCAACTCTTGATTTCGGCTCAGGTCATGATCTTATGGTTCATGGGTTTAAGCCCTGTGTTGCGCTTTGTGCTGAGAGTGCGGAGCCTGCTTGGAATCTTCTCTCTTCTTCTCTCTCTGCCCCTTCCCTGCTCATGCTCTCTATCACAATAAATAAATAAACTTCAAAAAAGGTCAAAAATAGAACTACCCAATGACACAGAAATTGCACTACTAGGTATTTACCCAAAGGATATAAATATACTGATTCGAAGGAGCACATGTACCCTGATGTTTATAGCAGCATTATCAATAATAGCCAAATTGTGGAAACACACACACAGAGGAATATTACTTAGCCATCAAAAAGAATGAAATCTTGCCATTTGCAATGATGTGCATGGAGATACAATGTATTATGTTAAGTGAAATAAGTAAGTCAGAAAATGACAAATACCATATGATTTCATTCATATGTGGAATTTAAAAAACAAAATAGATGAACATAGGGCAGTGGGAAAAGAGAGAGGGAGGCAAACCATAAAAGACTCTTAACTACAGATAAGAAATTGAGGGTTTCTTGAGGGAAGGTGGGCGGGGGTATGGGCTAGATGGGTGATGGATATTAAGGAGGGCACTGGTTGAGATGAGCACTGAGTATTATATGTAAGCGACAAATCACCAAACTGTACTCCTGAAACAAATATTATACTATATGTTAACTAAATTTTAAATAAAAACTTAAAAAAATGCAAGTACATTTGACATGCTATTGCACATTTAATAGAATTCATATAGCGTAGATAATTTTTTATATACAATGGAAAATTGAAAAATTCATTTTAATTTCTTGCTTTATTACAATATTCACTTTATTTTGTAGTGGTCTGGAACACCTGCAATATCTCTGAGGTATGTCTGTACTTTAGCATCAAATTGGAGAATGGAATGGAAGGATGCTAACTGGGTTAGGTGAGTCAATTACAATAACCTTGGATGTTAATAATAAAGACCTAATCTAAATCAACAGCAGTGGGGATGGAGAACAAGGGATGGATTCCAGAGGATGTAGAAGAAACATGGGGTAAAGAAAATAAGTTTAGTATTGGTCATATTATATTTATGAGCAGCAGGTATTCATTTGATGTACGAGTCTGGAGTTCAGGCAAGCTCTGGGAAGTGATCTAGACCTAGAAATCACATAATATGTGACACTCATTGGGTTATCCTAGGTAAATGTGTAAGATCTGAAAAGGGTCAAAGACAAAAACTCCAAAGAACGTTTATATTTAAGGAATTGAAAAGGGAAGGCAAGCCTGTAAGAGCCAATAAAAGAGACAAGTACCACATTATTTATCTGTCTCTCTCCCATACTACAGTGAGATCCATGGGGCAGGAGTTTTGTTTTATTTATCTTTGTATATCCAGGACCTAACATAGAACCTGACATTTAGCAGATGTTTAGTAAATATATGTTGAACAAACTGAATATGTTTCTATATATAGTATTGTTGTTTAAACACCTAACTAAAATGCCTAGGAGGTTTAATTACAATGCTCTTTTGCATTAAAAATTGAGTTTGATCCAACTCAAAGGTTGAATGCAAACCTCACTATTATTTTTTATCATCATGGTTGGAAACACTTGACAAGGAAGTTAACCATCCATGAAGAGTCTGCTTCCTTATGAGTGACAACTGATTTAATGTATAAATGAAGAGGAAACAAGCACATGAAGGGAAAGAGAATCCATGAAACAGCATTTTTTTTCCTAAAAGAAAAATAAAAATGGGTCATTTTCAGTTCTGTTTTCTTCTTAGAATGATTAGAATTTGTTTAAATGTAACTTGGCATACACAGTGAGATTATCCTAAGGAGTGATGTTAAGGGAAACTCTCCTAAAATTATAACAAGCCAGTGATGGTTAACTTATTTTTATAATAGGTAAAGTATTAAACTTTTTTCCAGCTTAAGTTTATATTTACATTTTCTGAAAATGTCTTCATGTTGATATAAAAATATCTGAATATTTTGCTTTTAATAATATAAAGAAACCTATTTCACTAAAATTGATTTCTGAAATCATAGAGCTAGTTGTTAATGTTGCACTCTAGACAGTTTTTAAGTCTTTACTTCCTTTAATGAGTAAAACAGAAATAAAAGAAAAGGTCTCAGCCTGATGATATACACATATTTAAAAGAACGAAAGTCAAAGATTATAACTATATAAAAATAACTTTTGTTGAAGTAGGGTCAAGGACCAAGGAGACAGAATTGGGCACTTAGTATTTCACTAGTTTTAAGCCTTTTTCCTCAAGTTTTAATTTAAATTCTAGTTAAAATATACGGTAAAATTGGTTTCAAGTGTAGAATTTAGTGATTCATCACTTACATATAACACCCAATGCTCATCACAAGTGCCTTCCTTAATATCCCTCACCCATTTGGCCCATTCCTCCATCCACCTCTTTCCATCAACCCTCAGTTTGTTCTCTATAGTTAAGAGTCTCTTATGGTTTGCCTCCTTATCTCTCTTTCTCTCTCTCTTTTCCTTCCCCTATGTTCACCTGTTTCGTTTCTTATCTGGTTGGCTCAGTTGAAAGAGTATGTGACTCTTGATCTCAGGGTCATGAGTTTGAGCCCCACGTGTGGTGTAGAGATTACTGAAAAAAAAACCAAACCTGACTGTTCTTTTTATTAATTTTTTTTTAATGTTTATTTATTTTTGAGAGAGAGAGTGAGACAGATCATGAGCAGGGGAGGGCCAGAGAGAGAGGGAAACACAGGATCTGAAGCAGGCTCCAGGCTCTGAGCTGTCAGCACAGAGCCTGATGTGGGGCTCGAACCACAAACCGTGAAATCATGACCTGAGCCGAAGTCAGACGCTTAACCGATTGAGCCCTGAAAAGCTGACCTTTTTTAAAAAAAGTTTTATTTATTGAAGTACTCTATACCCTACATGGGGTTTGAACTAATGACCCCGGGATCAAGAGTCACATGCTCTCCCAAGTGAGGTAGGTGCTCCACAGACCTTTTAATTTAAACAGAATTTTTAATGTTTTCTATCATTTTTTATATTTTAATACTGAAAGAAGAGCACTATCATGTAGTAAAAAGATGAATTTAAGTCTTGAACTTTAGTCCTATTCCTTTTCTGCTGGTCTGAATCTGAGTGTCCTTGCAGAAAAATTATGGTGTTTGTATAGATGCTCTCTAATGTTCATTGAAGTTTGAATATTTTATGATCTATGAATGAAGTCCTTTATTTGTAAAATCAATCCTTTTGTGTTTATCTGCATAACAAAAACAATTAAGAAACTGTATTTTATTCAAATTGCACTAAAACTTCTATCTGAATATTTAGAAAGGGAAATGGTTGATTAAAAACTGAAAACACTGGGGAATACTACCTTTTCGTTGTCTTTTCACAGGCTGGTCTCTATGTGCTATTAAACTAAGAGCTTATATGCTCTCATTGAAAATGAGAAGATGGATGAAGCAGAAAAACTGAGGTCAGACTGGTTGTTCAGTGATCCATGAATGAATTAATATATTTTTTATATTTTACATTTAAAAACATGTTTTCCACAAAAGAAAACACGGTTAGGAGACACATTTATTATCTCTCATTTCTGACAGAAGGACATCAGGCAGACTCAGAGTTAACTATTTTCCTCACTCAGTGCTGATAACTGTTTCTTTAATTTAGAGTATTGGTATTTTGACAAACAGGGTAAACATAGTTGATTGTTTTCCTTCTTTTTTAATGAAAAGGAAGTTTTATGGGTGGTTTACTCTGTATACCATTAATATTGATCTTAGAGTTGACGAGAAATACGAAGCAAAAAAGCAAAAAGAATGATGATAGTAATTGTGATAATGGTTAATAACCTTTCTCTTTCAGGAAAACCATGAATTAACATTATATGAATCTTACTTGGAAAAAAATGAAAAGAAAAGGCAATGGGCGAATATAACAGTACCTCGGTAGTTGATGATTTCTGTCCCAAGCACCGGAGTCATCTCCAGGACTGTGATGAAGGCTTTGTCCATAGATGTTAGAGGAAAAGGAGACATGCGGTGTCTTCTAGCCACCTTGGTGATATCGACAGCACTGTGACCTAAACAGGAAGATAATTAACTAAGACTATGATGCTGAAACACTGATTAAAAAGTGGAAATGTCTTATAAGTATCATCAGTTCTCATTTTCATGTCTGTAAATGAAGATTACAAGGTGAGAAATTTTCTCCTGCTTCCAAAATATAGCCTGCTTTGGTGGAACATTAAATCAAGTCAGCAATGTTACATTATTTGTCAAAACTTGGTGAAATTTAATGATGTTACTGCATAATCCTTTTGAGTGCTTACTATGCATTGTGGCACTGTTCTAATTAATCTTCACAACAATCTTATGGGGAGCCATTATTATCTTTATTTACAGATGAGGATAAAGAGGTTTACATATCTTGGCCTAAATCACAGACCTAGCAACAAGCAGAGCCAGAATTCAAACCCAGGAAGTCTGGCTTCAGAGTCTATGTCCTTAACCACACACCAAACACTGAATTAATTAATGAGCTAGTTAGTAAAATGAAATACTCAAACTCAAATTTATTTAGGATTTCATAGGAAATTTTATATTTTCAGAAAAGTCACAGAAAAAGATTATTTTTTAGCTACTCACTCCTTATTCACTCCCCTTCATGGCATTAATATCACCTACACACCAAAACTCCTCATTTATATCTCCAATCCTAACCTCTACCTTCAACTCTAGATTTATATGTCATCCAAACAGCTGGTGGATAAGAGTGTAAATCATCCAACATGCACTTGGATGTGTAACAGGCAATTCAAAGCTAACATGTCCAAAATGAAACTCTTGATTACCCACCCTTCTATTTTATCCTTACAATGTCTTATTCTCTTGCTATTTCCATCTCAGAAAATAGCAACTCCATTCTTCCAGTTACTAATCCCAAACCTTTTCATCAGAACCAAATCTAAACTACTGTTGAAATATATCTAGAATCTGACCATTACTTACCATCGCCATAATTACTACAATAGTTGAAACCATCACTTATTTCCTGGGAAATTGAATAGCCCCCTAACTGGCCTCCCTGCTTCTATCCTTGTTCCACTATAATGTATTCTCCACACAGTAGTTATAGTGATCCTTTTACATTTTAAATTGGATGGTTCTAATCTCTGCTCATAACTCTCCAACGACTTTCCACTTCACTCAGAATAAAATCTTTGCTATGGCCTATGGAGCCCAACATATTATGGCCTCCACTGTCTTCAACTCCTGTCATTTCTTCTCTTGATCACTGTGCTGTAGCCATAGTGATTCCTTGCTTGTCCTTGAGAATGTAAAATACATCTTTCCTCAGGGTCTTTGCACTTGCTGTTTTGTCTACTTGGACATTCTTCCGCAGATATTATGGCTCCATCCATCCTTTGTTTATTTCAGGTCATCAGAGAGGCCTTTGTGAAATGCCCTATATAGAATATTACCTACCATCACTTTCTATTCTTTTTACCCCACTTTACTTTTCCTCGTGTGTGTGTATATATACACACATATATATATTCATATCCACATATCTATAATTTGTATCATATATACACTTATATTTATTTTTTTATAGCTTTATCTATGTAGAACGTAAGCTCCATTGCCTTTTTTGTTAACTGTTGTTATCTCCAATATCTAGAAGAGTATTTGGGACATACTCAACAATAAAAATAAATATTTGTTAAATCAATGAATCATTTAATGACAAAAAGGGACTTCTTAGATCACTATATCTTCATGCGTAAATAGCTTGGCCTTTCTTTAGAACCCTAACGGTATATAGCCCAGATGGTAAACAGAAAAGGAGTAGCTACAAACACAGTTGCTTGGCTATCCTGTCTGCTATCTACAACTCCATTCTTCCTTAGCCACTCTGCAGCTGAGAGTGACCATATGACATAATTCTGGTCAGTAAGATGTTGAAAGCTGGGGGCAGGCTTCCTATGGTGAATAAAAAGATAAAGAGACAAAGCTTTAAGAGGAGAAAGCTTTTGCCCTTCTTTCTTCTTTCTGCTTGGAACATGGCCAGATACCGGGACTTGGCATAGCCATTTTTTAACCATGAGGATGGAAACGCACACAGTAAGAATGGAAACCTGAGAAGAAAAAAGAGCCTGCATCTCTGATGACAATATTGAGCTGCTGAACAAGCCCTGAACTATCTGCCTTCAGGCTTTTGATATTCAAGACAAATAAGCTTTTATTTCTTTAATCTACTTTATAATGACTGTATATATTCCTTAGTAGTAAGTTTCTACTCATTGTAATTTATTAAGTTTAATACTCCTACCCCAACCCCAGAAGCTGCTTCAGACGTCTTCACTGAATTAACTTAAAGGTACTGCCTCAAAGAGTTTCCATTCTAAGATATGATATTGTACAAGTACTCAAAGAAAAAGACCTATATAGATGCTTATACTTATGACATTTCTCTCCCATGGGTAATCATAAAATTACAAAATTTTCAAAGCTTGAAGGACCTTAGAGATTTAGTGCTAAACATGAATAACATTGTCTACTCAAAATTTAAGTAGGTGAACACTAACAAAGGATAATGTATGATATGATTTATCATTTACTTACAACAGAAACATAAATTTATTACTCATTTTCACTGAAGTCTCAACCTTGCAATTACATATCATAAAAGCATATTGTCACAACCAGTGTAATTGGAGAAGAGGACAGAACTAGGTCTTTCTGTTTTTTATTCAGGTTTATAGGTCTCAAGTCTGATATTTTCTAAAATATATTTTACTTTCTATACGGTGCAAATTGTGTCTAACCTTATAAAAGTTATCCTCTTAAAATGTTTAGTTTCTGAGGAGAAAACTGTACTTTTTAACTGTACAGTTTATTTCTTGCATATGCTTTGTAATAGAATTTTTCTTATTAGAAAGTTAGTTTGATTATCAGTGATATACACACCCATTCAACAAATATTTATTGAATGCATTTTATGAGCCAGGTATGTTAGGGAATTGGGATACATAGAGTGGCATATACTCTGCCATGAGGAACATTATAGCTCAGCAGAATTGGTAGTTTTCTGTCTCTCTTTAATTGAAAATGGCAGTGTAGATATCTACCAGCCTAAAAAACCTTTCCCAAAATCTTTAAAATAATTTTGTATCTTATTTGTATATTTTTTAAGGGTACCTATCACTCTCCATCTTATATTATAGACATTTAAACATTTGTCTTAGTTACATTAGTCAATTGTAAACTCCTTGAAGGTATACCCTGTATGTTACTAAATTTGTGGTTTGTTTCCATTTTTTAAAGAAACATAATTTTAACTATTTTCTGATGTTGACAGCAGTGACTTGCAAGAAACTTCAAAGTGAAAGCTTCAGAAAATTTAAGAATAGTTATCTCTGACTTCTCTTATTTTGCAAGTTACAATCCCAAAGCACTTATATTTGTCCTGGGCCATTGAAGAACTAAATCACACAGGAAAAAGAATCAAGAACTGCTTTCCTCCACATTCTAATACTCTTCTTGATTCTGAGCCCAGCACAGAAATCTGATGGAAGAAAAAAAAGTATGTACTTTTATCTCTTGAAGGTCAGATGGGTTATATAGTCTGGTAGCCAAATTTCATCGAATGGTCCATAAATTCGGCAGAAGTAGGAAAGGAAGGAAAGAATAATTTTTTGTTAAAGTAAGAAGGTTATAATAAAAGGCAGCTTGAGTTTTGGATAAAGAAAATACCCAAAAATTGAGAGAAAATTTGGATAGAGTTTTTCCTATAAAACAAAAATAAAATATTTCATAGCCACAAATACATTCTGATAGCTTCATTACAAATAAATACCAGTGGTCACAAAGAGAATCTGTGAGGGCATCAGCTCCATTCAACTCATGTATGCTACAAAACTAACATGCAAAAATACGTGTCCTATAGAGAAGATTATAGTGTTCAAGGGAATATCTATTTAACTTATAAATGTATGGTTATCACTGATAATTGGTAGGCAGCATGGCTATTTTGACAAAAATAAACTACTAAGTGCTGTAGGATATGGGATCTTTATATGGGAGTGGGGCAAGGATAGGGAAATGAAATCTAGACATCCCCTCCACTAGTAGCTGTCTGAACTGAGCAGAGAATAACAGGTTGAATTACTATAACATCTAAATTGATAGCATTCTTCTGCAATGGGCTTAATTTTCTCAAGTAGACTTATAAGATTAAAGCAATTCTAAATTGGCAAAGATTGACCACCTTAAGGTTTCCCTTATAAATCTAGGTTTCTATAAGTGAAACTTAACTCGTCTCTCTTATATTTTCTAGTGCTTAAGTCCAGTCATGGGGTTGACTTTGAAAGTAAAAGTCCTCAAAATGTTACTGGGATTTCCTGTCTTCTATGCAGCAAGACTACATAACACAGACAGTGTAAAAACAGTATGGGTTCATTCAGGATTGCCGTCATCAAAGATATGTTTAAATACTAATTGCAATGTCTATTATGTATGAGGCCTTCAAAATGGCACAGAAAGTACAAATGGATTCCTTTCTACTGAGTAGAGTAACTGAAGATCTTTGTCATGTAGCAGTAACCGTTTTCTTATAGCATGGCTATCTTGAAATGAAGCTATACCAATTTTATACCAATGAAATTATTTTTCCCACTTCAAATGCATTATTTTTAATGTGACAATTCTTAATATACAATGTTTCATCCTGGTTTGAAAATACTTCTTTAAATTAGAAGTAAATGATGAAAAGATGTTTTCAAATGATAGAATATAACAGAAAAAAGGTATTTATGAAGGTTCTTCTTGATTAAATTAAAATCTTCAAGAGGAAACTTTATCCCTCAAGACAAAAATAAAAGAGTTCCCCAAACTGCCTAAAGTATAAATCATTATTCATTCTTTGGATATACAGAAAATCTCAAGGAATAGATTTGTTCTGCCCTATTAATAACACTGCCTTTATTTATCATAGTACTTGCAGCTTGAATTCATTATTTTTCTACTTTCTGGAGCTTTCAGAGAAGCAAACCACCTAAAATAATAAATATCTTTCCTA